GGGGTTACGAAAAGGTGTAATGGTAATAAGGCGTAATGGTGACATGGCGTTATGAAAAGGCGTAATGGTAATTAGGCGTAATGTTGACATGGCGTTATGAAAAGGCGTAATGGTAATTAGGCGTACATGTAATGTTGACAAGGTGTAATAGTAATTAGGCGTAATGTTGACCTGGCGTTATGAAAAGGCGTAATGTTGACATGGCGTTATGAAAAGGCGTAATTTTTGTTTTTGTTTTTTTTTGTTTTGGATTTTACGTCACATCGACACAGTATAGGTCATATCGCGACGTTCAAGCTTAACTGGTGGAGGAAGACCTCACGAGAATGATAGTTAATACAGAAATGAGTTTTGTTCGATTGTTAATCAGTTTATAAACGCACACTTAATCTTGTTCTTGGAACCAACCGGTACCGAGCAATGAGGGTGCAGTTTTATGCTCAAGTAAACAATTGTAGCGCCGATATATGTCCCAACGTCGAAAAATGTCCAAACGACGATAAATGTCCAAAAATTGACGATAAATGTCTCAATCGCCGATAAATGTCCAAAACTCCTTTAACGAACAATGTCCAAAAATTAACGAAAAATGTCACAACAAATTAGGTGTTCATAAATGTCCAAATCGGTTAACGATAAATGTCTCAACTTTTCATATGTTAATTTGTAATTTATATTCAGTAACTACTGGAGTTCCCCATGGCCTATACTGTTTTTAATCTATATCAATGACATGCTTTTGACTATGGAAAAAACAGAAACTGATATTTTTGCTGATGACACCAACCTCTGATGTATCCCTTAACAGAGTAGTTGAATCTCTGACTCATGATCTTTTAAATGCCAACAAATGGTGTGATTTTAATCGCATGTCTATCAATGTTAACCAAACTAAGGTCATGTTAATTTCCTCAAAACACAAGCAAAATTATATTTATGAAAGTAATTCTTGTATTTCATATAAAACAGAGCAAATTGTTTGTAGCTCTGAAGAAAAATTATTGGGTATTACAATTAATAACACCTTGTCTTTGCAAAGCCATATTGATAATGTTCTTAAAAAATGTAACTCATTGTTACATTTATTATCTCGAATAAATTATTCATATCTATACCTGTTCTACAAAAGAATATAAGGGTAATTCAAATAATAGGAACACGCCACGTGATCATAGTTCTCCATGGTTCGATGATGAATGTTTAATGCTTAAAACTGAATATAAAAACACACTAATATTATTTAATAACTGCAAGTCTGATTATAATAGAACGCAGTTGTGCGACGCAAGGAAGCGTTTCAAATATATTTCACGCAAAAAGAAACGTGCACATAAAATAAAGAAATCAAGGGAATTGACTGATCTAAAAAATAAAAAGCCTCGTGACTTCTGGAAACATTTTAAGGCAAAAAATAATTCAAATGGTAATATATCGCCGGGTGAGTTTAAGACATATTTCTCTGAATTATTTAGTGATATTAGGACAACTTCCATTGATATTGTTGAAACTTTCAACGAAACTTCTGATTTTAATGTGAATGATTCAACATTCAGTGAACTTAATGTCCCTATATCGCTACAAGAGGTTATCGCAGCAGTAAAAAGTCTTAAGCGCAACAAATCATCGTGTCCTAGTGATCACTTAATTAACGAATATTTAATAGAAACAATTGATATACTTGGTAGCCATATTACTGATTTATTCAACAAAGTGTTCAATTCTGGACAATTCCCAGAATCCTGGTCTCAAGGATTTATAGTGCCTATCTTAAAAAAGGGGGATAAAAATTTGCCAAATAATTATCGTGGGATCACTTTATTAAGCAATCTGGGAAAATTATATACAAATATACTGACAGGTAGAATTGAAAAATGGTTCGAAAAAAACAATTTTGTTTCAGTCGCTCAGTTTGGTTTTAGAAAGGATAGGAGTACGGTTGATGAGGCCTTTGTATTACATAACTTAATAGAACACGTTTTATCACAAAAGTTGAGACTGCCCTGCGCATTCATTGATCTGCAGAAAGCCTTCGACTCCGTCTACCGCAATGCACTGTAGTTCAAACTTTTCAATATGGGCATCGATGGCAAAATTCTACAAACGTTTAGGGCAATGTATGCTGTAGTAAAATCGTGCGTTAAAAGTTGTAATAAGTACTCAGACTTCTTCGAAATATCAATCGGTCTAAGACAAGGTCTTAATAATTCTCCTGCCTTGTTCGCGTTATTTCTAGAGGATTTAGAACTATTTTTGCAAGATACGAACTCGTTCGTCTGGTTTAACAATTTATGATATTTGTGTAACATTTCTAATGTTTGCAGACGATATGGTTTTAATTGGTAATTCTGTGCAGGACTTACAGACTAGTTTAAACAAATTATATGATTATTGCAATTACTCGGGACTTCAAGTTAATATAGAATAAACCAAAGTCGTAGTGTTCCGTAAAAGGGGTCCTGTTAAGCAAGAAGAGCGCTGGTATTATAACAACCAACCTCTTGAAGTAGTAAATGATTTTAATTACTTGGGGATCGTGTTTAATTATACCGGTTCATTCGTTTTGCATAATCAGTACGTTATTGGAAAGGCGCTTAAAGCTTCAAACATACTTTTAAACAATATCAATAAATATGAATTAAACTCATCGTTATCTATGAAACTTTTTGATGCATTTGTCGGTTCGATCTTAAACTATGCCTGTCCGATTTGGGGTTTCTCGAAAACAAAGGAAATAGAACGCGTGCACTTGAGGTTTTTGCAAGTCAATCTTGGGAGTCAAACAAAGAACTAGTAATGCAGCCGTATATGGGGAACTAGCGCGGTATCCGCTGCATATTACAAGATATTATCAGATTATTAAGTATTGGTTACAAATTCTTACGACGGATAACATTATAATTAAACGCGTATATGACGAATCGTTGAAAAGATGCCTAAATAGTAATACAGTAAGTTGGGCTGGCAGAGTCAAGATATTACTCAATCAGTATGGGTTTTCTGACGTTTGGGAAAATCAAGATAACGTAGATGCCAAACTCTTCCTACCTTTATTTAGACAACTGCTATTTGACTGTTACGTACAGAGCTGGCGAGCTGATTTGCAAGCAAATAATGTTCTGAACACTTTATATGTATACCTTAAAGATGAGTTCGTCACCAGTGACTATCTTAATGTAATAAACTCTAAGTATTTACGTCAGTCTTTGACAAGAATAAGCGTATCGGCACATAGGCTGCGCATTGAAACTGGTAGGCACGGTCGAAATCGCATAGAACGATCCGAGCGAGTTTGTCAGCTTTGTGATTCTCAAGAAATTGAGGATGAATACCACTTAACTATAATTTGCAAAGTCTATGAAACCTTGCGTCATAAATACATTAAACAATATTTTTACAGGCGCCCAAATATGCACAAATTCGTACAATTAGTATCTGCTCAAAATAAAGTTATCACCAGAAACCTGGCGAAATATATTTACCAAGCGAGTCGTATTCGCACAGAGCTGCTTTTAATTATACAATACAGTAATAATGCAGTTTAATTTTAAAGTTTGAATATATACGTTTCTTAAGTGATAAGCAATATCAACTATAAATCGTTGTGTTTTTATTTTTTGTCACGGCCTTAACCGACATCAACGTATTAAACATATATCTGTGGTCGATGCTACAATAGTACTTTCCTATAGATTGTTGTCTTTTTCTCAATAAATACCAAAAGTAATATTTTTATGGCATACACATGCATAATGTCTACTTTACTTAATCATGTATAACTATTGATTGAAACACATGCTGAGGACATGTCCATATTATCAACGACTATATGATATTCCGTTCGTTCTCCAAAAGTACTTTTTATAAATTGTTTTTCTTTACTGCTAAAAATAATATTTGATGTAAAAAATGTAAAAAAAATTACTTCTAGAAAATTTTTCTGTACGAAATCTGCTGTGGTCATAGTATTATTTTTACAATAGGTTTATCTCTTAGATTTGGTTTGCTATTGCTAATCATGGTCATGCAACTACATAGTTAGGTGAAGAAGCAGGCGCTTGTTTTGGTTGAGTCTATTCTGTTTTATATTTTGTTTAGGGGGTGAGTTGTCATACTAGTCCAGTCATTCTAGCTCAAAATAGAGCCAAACCTCAAACAAATTGCAACAGAAAATATTTTGAGTGTTTTGAAACCCCAGACCTATATTGTATAACATATCAAAAGTCTAGAAAAATCTAAATTGGGGAATGTTTTCAAAAATTGAGATAAAATATATGGGTATCATTGTATTTATTTTTTTAATTTGAACTCAATGTAGTACACACATACAATTTTCCAATCAGTTTTATATATAATATGCATAAAAATATAGCTTAATCTATCCCTATAGTAACATAAAGTAATCAAAAAGTTGTTTTCGTTTAAAGAAACTACTTTTACCTTTCTAAAATTTATTAATTAACTTAAGTGGGTGGGGTAATATTATATTTTTACATTGCTGTAGATCAACAATTTATTGAAAGCTCTATGTTATATGATATTAAACAGAAAATACATAATGGTTTACGTACATGTGAAAACTGTCAAGTTTCAACGTTTTATGAATTTAATTTACATTCCATCAATATTTAATGCATATATTGAAATATTTATATTAACATTGTACAGCTAGTGGGTGGGGTAATTTTATACAAAATAAAGAAACATTTAGGAAATTTATATTATCTATGATAATAATATTGAGTTTTATAATAACTTGAATACTTTCAAGCACATCTGTTGTATTTTTTTCTGAGTCATTATATAACATCATGACATTGCGTCAAAAGAGGTGACATTGACCTTTTGGAAGGTCAATTTCAAATATTTGATACATTTGAGCATAAAATGTAAAAAAAAAATATTTGCAAATTTTAATTTGTAAAATATCTTCGCTAAGCATAAGCACAAGAATGTCATGACTTTTACAAAGCGTCACCCGCTTCTGTAATTTCTGGTCGACCAATCTTTCACTTTTTATCACTAGATGGTAGCACCTGAAATTCTTCTGGTATATCTTTTCCAGTTCTGAAATTAGAGGAGCATAAACATGTTTCATGGTAAAGAGCATCGGTTACAAGCAAGTCGTGAACCTGTTCTATCCTTGCTCTCACTGTATCAGACAAACAGTCATTCCTCTGTATGCTTATATTCAAAATAGTAGGTTAAATATATTGTCCTTACTGGCGAAACATCACACTTCCTTGTTTTACCCTGACTTATTACAGATTGACCACAATATAAACAATCTTTTTTGTATGAAAACTTATCAGTCATTGATCTCAATGGTGTTAATGGTGGCATCAGTGTTTACTTTTTCTGTCTTAGTGTCTCTTTTAGTGTAATGTGGGTTACAGTACATCTTTCTACACTCAATGTGAATATATTATTCCGATTCAACTTTTAAACTGTCATTTTATTTCTCACTGGCAGCATTTATTCCCTTGCATTCCTTTTCGTTGCCTTTAACTGTCTTTGTATGATCATCAAACAGCCGTTAACAAATCCGACAGGAGTTCATCTTGAAAACAAACAATAACTGATATTGTAAGATTTATAAAATATGTTTTTTACAATATATGGAGGTTGATCCAGAATTACCCAAAATTTGTTTATAATTCTGATAACTTTTTTATGTTTTCTTCATTAAATTTATAAATGCGAAAAGATCGATGTTTCTTCTATTTAATTGCCAAATATAATTGATTATAAACATCCAGTACCGTCTCAGGCCGCCTTAAATAACCATGGATACGCCACAGCAGCGCAACTCAAAGAACACGACGTTCGTTGAAATTTATAATACACCAAAGTGCCCGACACAAAAAGGGATCATGTCCAATATTTGCCGAATTTTAATGTAAAGCCTGCTAAAATTTTACGTCGTTTGAACATTGTATTATTGTGTAATCATTTGTAATTGCAACGTTTATTTATGCAAAAACGTCTTCATTAAGGCGTCGGAAAACGGCACTTTCATAAACATTTGTCAACTGTTTAGACAGCCTACCATAGAAACATCTAATATGATAAATCATAAAAGAAATTCGACACAAGTATTTTGTTAGTCATGCATGCAAAACTTTTTGAGGGGTAAAGAAGTTTTTTTACCAGACTGTTTGAGTAATTTTAAAGATAAATACATATCGTTTGCGGCATAGAAGAATACGCGTGAAGTTAACGTTCTCCGTCGCTGTGGCGATTGAAAAATACAAATATGCTGTCATATGCGGCCTTGCACAATTTCAATGCGATTTAAAAAAATGAATTCTAATTGACGATTATGTGTTGTTTTTCATACTTTATTTGTTTTCTTTTACATGCACTTTTTATCTAATGAAATGAAATGAATCATATATTTTATGCCTTAAACTTTAAGATGATCATGTGTATGAATCACAGCAATCAAAGCAATTAGCAGTTCAATAGTCATAGGTTTAGGTTGTTAGTACACTTACAGTGAATGGCATCGGGAGGATTCCCTATGTATAAGAACAATAGAACATCAACCATTTTTGCATAATGTGACAAATACTATGTTTGCTTATATGGTAGGCATACTGTGTTTAATTATCATATTCTTGTTTCCTTGTAAAGAGGATATATTACGCAGTAATAAAGTGTTTGTTATATGAACTTTGAATAAATATTATTGAATTTATTGTTTATTTCTGGATCATCCCTTGTATTCTTGTATTCTGGTTATTGGTAGCTGATAACGTATTGTTTCAGTTATCCCAGAACAGTACGTGTTATTATAAGATGTATTTTTCCTAAAAGGCTTTCCTTAAAATGTTTTAGGTGTATTTATTTGATCAAAGTTGCTGATATGACACACTTTTCTTGCATATCAGACTGGCGTTTCCGTTAGTATTACCCATGCCGGAAATTTCATCTGGCATAGGGGGTCGGGCATGAGTCGCGTGCTGTACAATGACGTAATTTTGCCGTTATGAATGAAGTTCTAATTTCATACGCTGTTGTACAAAAATAGCTTCGGTTGTAATAGCATAAATTCCCATTGAAAATTAAGATAAAGAATTCAAAATATAATGTTATATCGTAAAATATGCAAGAAAAAATATCTGACATATGTTTGCGGTTCGGATCGGAATATCCGTCCCGAGGTGACCCGCCCATTGGGCGGTAACAAGGCTTGCCGATTTATTATTATTTTCTAAGGTTTTAATCTAAAATTATAAAAATATTAAATACCTACTGGTTAAAGTGTTTGGAAGTAACGTAAAGATAAAGTCACATATTGAGTTTAAAAATGTCACCTTTCAATTTTAAGCATTTCTAATGCCCATCCGTGCATGCATTCAAAAATATTTGTACTGATATGTAACTATATGGAACTTATGACACACTTTAAAAGTTTGCTTATATGAAAAATATCATTAAAGTGATTTTGTGAAACAAATGTCTCAACTATGCATCTTTACCTTTAAGTCGTATACATCACAGTGTCCTCAGAACACATGATCGGGCATACCCATTGGCTCTGGTGTGTTGATGAAATCTGTAACATAGAAATTACTTCAAGTTTGAAAGGATTAGAATCTTATTTTCATATTTACGTGAAATAAGGTTCTATAGAATACACAGATGTTTTTATTGTTACATGTATTTGCTTAAATTTTTATTTTAAAAGTGATAAAATTATACTATAATCAACTTAGGTGTGCATTCCGAAAGAAATACTAATATATCGCCAAACTCCTCACAGCGGTTACGTCACGCTTTGCTACTTTAACCACTGACACCACTGAAATCACGTGATGATAGTTGTATCATGTGACAAAAACATGGCGGCCAGTTTCAGAACGCCAAGGATCCCATATCAAACTGGCAGATTTATAATTACATCCTTACCACACAAAATAAGTTCAAGACACTCAATTTGTTATCACTTTAAAACAAGTGCCGGATCAAATCTTTTTGTGCAATCGTTCAATAACTGTTTATATTCTGCCATTGTTTACTGGTTGTTACTATGCATACGGTGTCACAGTGAAAATATCTTTCGTTATGTTTACAAAATAATTTTTAAACGTATAATTTTTTACTTTCTTGTACATTAAGCATAACTATTTAACGAAAGAAAACTAAAATGATATAAAGTATTCTATTTTAAAATTAAAAGTGAAAAAAATATATCCGGCTATATTCGACCGAATTTACTTGTGGTGGCAGTGGTTACTGTACTGATCAGGGGAAGTAACCGCTGCGAGGAGTTTGATATATCGCTGTGAATTAATCTTATACACGTAATGCACTTTTCAAATTCGCGCAGGTGCTATTGTATGCATAAAAGATTTTCTTTTAAATTATGGATCAACTGTGCATGTTTACCTTGAACTCATACAGTACACATCGCCAATCATGAACCATAACTAGAAATCACGTTTGTTTATTGATAAATTTTTCATGCCACCTTTTCATGTATAAATTCTTCTATGTCTATTAAAAACTGAAAATAATTTTAGATATATTGAATTATGCATACGACGCTCTATTTCCTCCATGTTTAATATTCACTTAAACTAGTAAAAGATAATGTTTGATATTTGTGTTATATATGTAAAAATATTACAAATATAAGCACAGGAAAGTAAACTTACTCATTTAGTGTACATATAGTTTACTGGATTTTTTTTTATTTTCAAAATCAAGCAAACATCAATGAAGACTACATCAAAGCGGTACCCCTGAAATAATAATAACATTACATACATTATATATGTAAAACAATTTTAAAAAACTATTAAAAAATATAAAAAAAACAACCTAGAATACACATTTAACAATAAAACATGATTAAAGTATTCAGAATTTATTTAACGTGATTCGTCATAATTAAAGTGATAATGGCGTTCCATAGTTTAAAAATACTGTCGAAATTAACTTGTTATAAATACACATTTTTAGGCCGTTTTTGAATGTTTACTAAGACAGGAGTTAATCAGAGTTGTTATTTATATAAATTAAACTGTTTTCCATGAAAAGTATAATACAGATCGCTTGAAACACCTGTTGACCTTCAACGGATAAAGAACTAGTAAAACAAGTAATAATTTTCAACAAATACAGTACTCATAATAAACATACGACCCCACATTAATAATTCCTATTATGATCTGTAATATTTTAAGGAATATATACCAACCCACTTTACAGTGTACTTTACTGACATTTATTTTGTTTACACTTATTTTGTTGTTGTTGTCCCCATTATGCAGTCGCTATTCTGAGTATCGGAGACGCTTTGTTCGCCTATGGAAGACCGTTGTCGTCAGAAAAAAATCACAAAAAATAACGCGATAAAAACCCGTTTTTTTCTATGTTGCGCAACTTAGATTTTGCTAGACTTTTGATATGATTCATGTTATTCCATATTCTTTCTATACCAGGTAAAATATTTTCTGTTGCAATTTGTTTGAGGTCGATTTACAGACTGACTGGACTATACACAAATTTACAATTTATATGCATTTATTTTTTTTCCAGTGATTGTTATTATCTTAAATGCTTCTGGGATTGCTGTTTTATCAATTCATTTGTAAATAAGATTATTTTATGTCTATTAACAGAATAATTTTAATGAACACGAAATTAGTTCACACCTACATGTGTATTGGTAACGTGATGGTTTAAGCCAATGAAAACACATCTATATTATTACAATCAGGCAGAGAAAAAGTGTGCAAAGAGTAAATCGATAATCTTTATGTAGCAAACAAACTTTGAATTGCAAGTTTTTTTCAGGATAAACTGTCCGAGGAGGGCCAGGCATTTTCATATCGTAAAATGGCTGCCATTTACAGTATCAAGTGATTATCCCAATCACCACCGCGACGTTGCGCGGGAATTTTAATTATAGCTAACCTCGGCGCGTCGCTTAGGATTGAAAATACCTTTTTCATATTTTATTGTAATAAATATTTACAAACTGTGTCTTTCGGGTTTTTTTTATCAATATATAACCAATAATGATGTTAATATGAATAAATAATCATATCTCAAATCTGTGACTATGATTTACAATGAAATTCTACCTTAAGTGTATTAAAAAGGTTTTTAATTTCTGTAATTTTATTTTGTGATTATGCTTCACACTCAATTGACCGTGAATTTTCTTTTCATATTTTGATTTCCTTGAAATCATTTTTCTCATCTGAAGGCATGCAACTTTAATATGATGATACATTAATTACATTCCATGAAAATGTTTAAAATATCTCATGACATGTTTGTCCATTTTACATTCAGCAAACATAAAGTCTTCACAAAAAGTAGTATGCAATCGTACCTGTATTACATACGAATGAATGTAATATTTTTCTTGTTTCTAACATGTATGATTGTTCAATTGATTCAAGGCCGTCGTCGATGGTCCGGCCGGTCCGGCCTTGGCCGGACCAATATTTTGGCCAAAAATGAGTAAAAAAAACAAAAAAAAACACGCATCGCTGATAAGCAATTTGACACTTGACTGGCCCCTCATGCAATGCGCGGTAATATACAAACTTGACGTGAAGAAACAACTGGACACTGTTAATTGACCAGGTATATGTAGGAGTCCTACGAAGTCAAGCGTTAAGTTATCTTAATTGGCATTAATTGACATCGACGTGGCTTCGGACAGTTCACAGTATATATATATATATTATATGTTTATTTAAAATATAACATCACAATTTCTAAAAAATTTACTTCAGTTCACATACAAGTATCTTAATATGAATAGCTTAAGATAGCAAACTATCATTATGTGTGACACAATTCCATCGGAACCAAATCAACCAATATCATTTTCGTTTCCAAAACGAACATTGTGAGTACATTTTTTCATCATGTTATATATATTATGATATAACAAAAAAAAAAAAAACAGTGCATGCGATTTGCAATATGCGTTAAGAAAATCTTAAACTAGTATGCCTGAATTCTCCGAGAACTTGATAACATTTTATTGATTCTATACGGCAACCGTGTTCTGGCCTACAATCGATCTTGCCATGGCCAGTGTTAAAGTGAGATTTGACCAACCGGGATATCCCGTATTTCAGAACGTGGAGGATTTACGTACTAAGGTCGCACAACCTTTGAAGACCGAGTACACTAGAGAACTTGGTTTTGTTTTGAAATTCCTATGGTAACGACATTAACAGAGACATCTTAGAGGTGCAGCTAAGGCCTTACCTGCTACGTTCACATTTTGACAAATCAGAAAATAGTACTGTTACTCTACCTGACGTTTTGAAATTTGTGTCAGAACAGTCAGTGCTAAAACGAGCACTGTTCTCTGAGGTCGTTGTGTTGTTTAATATTTTTGTTAGAAATGCCTGCTACTAATGCTACAAGTGAAAGGACATTCTTGGCGCTCAGAAAGAAGAAAGACATACCTGAGATCGACAATGTCTCATGTACGTTTGAACAATCTAATGGTGTTACAATATTCATGAGTACAGGACAGATTCACTTAACTACCGTGTTATTGCCGATGAGTTCATTACCACCACAGAATGATGGCGATGTGTTTTTGGAAAATTTACATAAAATGAAACTCTGTGTTGTGTAAGATTATTGTGAACAAAATACAAGTTACTGCTAAACAGAAAGTGGTTATTAGTGACTCGTAATGTACTATTCTTCCATCATGTCATCGATTGATATTTAAGCCTATACCATTGTGTGATTTATGTTAAACAATAATCCACGTACTGTAATATTTCTTGTATTTGTTTATTTATAATTATCAGATAAAAATGCATCTAAAGAATTATAACATCAGTTATTGTTTATTTTTCATTTGCCAAATATCAATGACATGTACTGTATTCATTTTATGTACACCTGTCCGTCCGTTATACGAACCTTAAATTTCACCCTTAAAACTTACGGCGCACTTAAAAATGTAAAAAATCGTTGACATATATTACTATAACATGTACGAGCGGCAGGCTGTAAACTGTGCCAAATATACGGGAAAATGCCCCTGAGAGCATCCTAGAATAAAAAAATTTCCGGGGGAGGATGCCCCCGTACCCCCCTAGATTGGCTCAAACCAACAAAGTTGGTCGCACCAATCACAAAATCGTGACGACGGGCCTGTTGATAGAAAGTATTGCTTCACTTTACTTAAGTTTATTTTCAAATTTGATTTTTCTTTTTCTAAGATGAATACTTAAGTACATATTTTCTAAGGTAATGTCTTAAGAACATACACATACTTATTTAGTCTTTAACATATATAAACTTTACTTAAACATTATTGATTGCTGATACAAAATGTTAACATTGTCAATCATAGTGACCATATGCCATGTATTTTGTAAATGTATATTGTACAACGATATGTTGTGTACAAGTTGGAAATAAAATCATTCTTCTTCTTCTTCTTCTTCCTGTACGTAAAATATTTACAATGCATATATTTTACCACATCTTGACTATTGTTGCATAATTAACGGTCACTGTACGTCTTTTCTAGAAGATAAACTCATTAAGTTCCAAAAGTGAGCTGCAAGACTCATTCTAGACAAAGATCATGACACTCCATCTGCTGAACTTTTTTTCTGAACTCCTCTGGATGACATTTTTACAAAGGGTTGTTTTTCAAAAAAGCTATAATTATGATGTTTAAAATAATGAATAATCAGGCGCCTTCCTATTTATTGAATAATTTCATTTTATCGTCAGATGTTCATACTCGCATTTTGCGTTCATCATCTGATTTTCAACTTTATACCCCTAGACCAAATACTGAACAATTTCGTAAGTCTTTCATTTATTCTAGATCTTGTATTTGGAACGGCCTTCCTGATTATATTAAGTCTGCTACATCTGTTAACCATTTTAAAACCTTATACTTGAGGTATTATCACACATTGATGTTTACAAATTGATAATCTCCTGTATGTTTTTACATTTATGCATTTTTATAGTTTGAATAATTATGTTAAATTTATATTGTTCCTTGTTGAGGGCCTCATGGAAGATTGATATGTTTGTTCAAATAAGTTCTCTCGTTAAATAAAGTCTTTATTATTATTATTATTATTACTCATTACACAATATGTTTATTGTTTTTAACCAACTTGATTAACCAAAACTAAAGTGATGGTATTTCGACGGAGGGGAAGACTGAAAAATAGCGAACAATGGACTTATGACGGAAAACGTCTCGAGATAGTGGATAACTTTAATTACTTAAGCACGGTCTTTAATTCTAACGGTCGTTTTGATTCGAATGTACAAATACTAGTTGGAAAATCGCTTAAAGCAATGAATACCTTATTTAATAATATCAAATACTAAAGATTTTGATTTTACACCCAAAACTATGTGCAGCCTTTTTGACGCTTTTTGTGTTCTATTTTAAATAACTCTGCTGAAGTATGGGGTTATACAAAATGTCAAGAAATTGAGAGAATACATCTTAAATTTTGTAAATATTGTAAATGTTAAATTGTCAACTTGCACGTTTTCCTTTATATATTAATCGCTATATCAGAATTATTAATTAGAAAAAAATTATGATTTGATGCTGGAAGATAAAAAGGTAAACCGGGCTCATAACGTAAAGAAATTATTATATAGCTATGGTTTCGGCTATATTTGGGAATCACCACAAAATGTTGATATTAACTGTTTCATTACACGTTTTAAGCAGCGGTTAATAGATACTTTTGTGCGGGACTGGAATAGTAGTTTGACTAACAATAGTGTTTTATTTGTGTATAAGAATGTTAAACAAGACTTTGTGTATGAGGATTACCTGAGTGTTGTTAGATCAAAAAAGTGTAGACAAGTTTTAACCAAGTTTAGACTCTCTTCACATAAACTACGTATTGAGTCCGGTAGATACGGACAGAATAGGATAGAAAGGAGCGAGAGAGTTTGCGAAGTATGTGGATCAAATGACATTAAAGATGAATATCATTTTATTTTAACATGTACAAAGTATAAAAGTGTAAGAAAACGATATATAGACAATTATTATTACGAACGTCCTAGTGTGTTTAAACTCACTCAGTTGTTTAAATCAAAGAATGTACACACTTTGAACAATCTACCTTGCTATCTGAATTGTGCATTGAAAATAAGGAGAAATTTGTTAACATAGTCTCATGGTATAAATTATTTGAGTCTGTAATAGTAATATATTCCAAAGAAGTACTATAGTTTATTGCTTTTGTTTCAATATTATATTGCTCTAGAAATACTTAGTAGCCTTAAAAGTATAACAAGTGCATTTCTCTTGCCGGGATAACAATTGTTCGATATTTTAAGAAAATAATATAATTGTAATCCGACTTTGTATAAATAACCATTATATTATATCACTCTCATTATAAATAATTATGTACTGATATGTATATATATAAGAATATTCATGCTTTTCTAATGTTTATGTAATACCTTGATATATATTGTATTTCTGTTAAGATGGGGAGCA